GCAAGTGACACAACCTTCGTGACCACCCAAGTACAGCGTGAACTCGGTATCAAGAGTGTTGAAAGTAGTTTAGATTTAAGCACGATGCTTGGTTGACAGAGGATAGCAGTTGAAAGAATTGATGGCTTGATTGTTCAGCAACTTGACAAACGCACCGAAGTTGACCAAAACCGTGAACAACTGGCCACACCTTAAAAGGATCCAAGGCAAAATTCCTCCGTATGATGAAGACAGATATTGGCCTGCTAATCGGTTGCAACTGCCCCAAAGCGATCACATCAACAGAAGTCATTCGGGGTAAAGGAGAAGAACCTTACGCTGTTCGAACCTTGCTAGGTTGGAGTATCATGGGACCAGTTGCCACATCAGACAACCCTCGAGATGGCCACGCCCTAGATTCCACCTGTCATCGTACCTTGACAAGAGAGGTTATTTCTGGAGCAAGTGACAGCGCTAACCAGTTGAGTTTCATCCTCCACAGAAAAACAAAGGAGGTCATAAACCCATCAGCAATTAATCAGATGTTCGAGCTCAATTTCTTGGAACACAAAAACAAATCGAAGCATGGTCTATCCAAAGAAGACAGAAAGTTTATTCAAATAGCAGAAAAGGGAATTCAACATTGCAATGATGGCCATTATGAGCTCCCACTACCCTGGAAGTATGAAACCATTGAGCTTCCAAACAACAAGACAGTAGCGCTTCGCAGACTAAATCAGCTAAAAAGAAGGTTCGTGGGTAGAAACGGCCAGAAATACTACACGGATTACTTGGAATTTATGAAGAAATTGATGAAGAATGGATACGCTGAGAGGGTACCAAAGATGTCTGAATCGGAACATGCATCCCATGGTCAAGTTCAAGAACAAGCGAACGTTTGGTACATTCCACACCACGGAGTCTATCATCCTAAGAAGCCCAATAAGATTTGTTTTCGATTGTGCTGCCGAGTACGAAAGTGAATCGCTAAACAAGCATCTCATTCAAGGCCCCAACTTGACAAACAATTTGACAGGAGTGCTTTGCAGGTTTCGACAAGAGCCAATGGCTTTCATGTGTGACATAGAGACCATGTTTCACCAAGAAAAAGTGAGTGAAGAATTCAGAGACTTGTTGCGCTTTCTCTGGTGGGAAGATGGCGACCTAACCAAAGAACCAAAAGAGTACTGAATGAGTGTACACTTGTTTGGAGCCACCTCGTCCCCAGGCTGCGCAAATTTTGCTTTGAAGTCTACGGCCAATGATTTTGAAGAAGAATTTGGAGCTAGCGCCGCAGATTTCGTTCGTAAGGACTTCTACATTGACTACGGTTTGAAGTCTGTTCCCTTGGTAGACGACACAGTGAAGCTGGTTGTAAGCGTAAAGCAGATCAAAGATCAGTGTAGCAAAGGAGGCTTCCAACTTCACAAGTTTGTGTCCAACAGTAAAGAAGTCATCAGAAGAATCCCAGAGCAAGACAGAGCAGATGATGTGAAGGAGTTAGACTTAGACCTTGATTCACTTCCCTTAGAGCGCACACTCGGCATCCATTGGTGTGTTGAGTCTGACTGCTTCCAGCTCGCTACTGTACTACAAGACAACCCATGCACTAGACGGGGTATACTCTCCACTGTGAGCTCAATTTTCGATCCACTCGGATTCATTGTTTCACTCTTGTAGGATGAAAAGTCAATTTTTCAAGATTTGTGTTGTCATGAAGTAGGCTGGGATGATCCAATACCAGAAGACATCAAAGTTAAGTGGGAAAAGTGGAGATCAGATTTGTTAGAAGTTCAATGCATTTCAATTCCCAGATGCTATAAGCCCGATGACTTTGGTCGTGTTGTGAGCGCACAACTTCATCACTTCTCGGACGCGAGCATCAAAGGTTATGGTCAGTGTAGTTACCTGTGCCTTGTAGACAAAAACCAGAGAGTTCATTGCTCCTTTGTTACGGGAAAGTCCAGAGTGGCACCGTAGAAGCCTGTAACTATACCACACCTGGAGCTTACCACCACTGTGTACTCGGTGAGAATCAGAAAGCAGTTGCAACTTGAGCTAGAGTACACCATTGATAAAGAGTACTTCTAGAGTGGTACTTGGATATATAGCCAACGAGAGTAGGCGTTTTCACGTGTTCGTCGCCAACAGAGTTAAAAAAATTTAAGGAAACACTTCAATTGATCAGTGGAAGTACGTCAAATCAAAACAAAACCCAGCAGATGAAGCATCTCGAGGCCAGAAGACACAAGAGCTGTTAAATTCCCGCTGGATTACTGAGCCAGCGTTTCTTTGGGAGAATGAAAACAAGTGGTTACCCAGAGAAGACCATGAACTTCAAGAAAACATTCTTTGTTCAATATTCAATTGAATGGACCTAAGCTATGCAATGAACTCAATGAAAGATTCGAGTGTCATACTTCCAATTAATTTTAAAAAGAACATTGCATTTCATTGGTTTCCATTAACCTTTACTGATATTTTATATTTATTTATTTTGTTTTGTGTTGTTTTGTATATTCACTTCTGTACCAGATTTATGATAATTATGTGTACCGATGTATTTTTTATGCCTCTTTCCTGACTCTCACATTTTTAATTATCATAATTACTGTCACCCAACTAGTTTAGCTTTTTAGTTATTTTGGGTGTCCCACTACTGTAGGTACTGTTTATTTATTTATTTATTTATTGTTGCATTCTTGTAAATTGTTCCTGTACCCAAAGCCAACAGACAAATACAGATCTGTGTGGACTTAGTACTACTGAACAAGGCAGTCAAACGTCAAATTCATCCCATGGGCTCAGAAAGCTCATTAGCCAAGTCCTCACAAAGAAACTAAATGGTACTGAGGAAGGGCTGAGCCAACAGCCTATCAGCAGGTTACAGAGATCCTTGTCTCACCCAAATTCCTTGCACACAACGACCACTATGATTCCCACAGTAAATGCTGCATTGAATATGGGAATAGGCCAAGAAAATTCACAAATAGTCCATTGGAAGGTCCCATAACAGAATACATTACAAGCTATAAAGATTTCATGAATGAACAGCAAGTCCCATGGCAAGTCCTGAACAAACATATCCAATGGAAGAGTGCTTTAAACACATTCTCCTTCTCTGCTGTCAGTCAATCGCTACAGGTAGGAGAGCATGCAGGAAAACCAATAAATACCATTAATTCTCTCCTTGTCATGGGAAATGCACGGAAAGTGAATGACCCATTTCTTTGAGATGCATAAGAATTACATGCCATAATCAAGGGACACGATGAGGATCCCAGAGAAGAACTTCATTATTAGCAAGAGAACAAGATACTAAAACATGATGTGAAGTAATGGTGGTGTAAATTCAACACACTGTCATCACACCATGGCTTCTGCTGACTCAAAGTTTGACGATTTCTCAGGTACAGACTTTGATTCTCTTATTGATGATGCAATTCTCAAAAACATAAAGAAAGCAACTGCTTGGGGAATATCTGTTTTGAAAGGTAAGGTTTTTCATTCAAGAATATAAAATTAACATGTCTGGTTTACCTAGAATACAGTGGTTTCAATGAAGTGTTTCTTTGTGTAGTGTATTCAATTTGCATGAAAATGTTAACATGCTCATTGTTCATGAATTATCAGGATTTACCTGTACTTGTTCACAAACAATAAACTCAAAATTTTCAATACCACATGAGGCTTTGCTGCACACACCACCAAATTAGTATTGAAATTGAGGTGGTAACGAGACAATGCTTAAAAAACTATAAAAGCTTTTAAGATATGATTGCTGTGATCGATGCCAAATATTAGGCAATTGTTAAGATCTATGGAAACCATACTCCAGCTATTGTTGTCGCCAGATAGACTAGTTCTAGCTCAACAATTGTTGCAGTCACATGCCCATTGTTGAAAGCATCCCTCGACTTTTTCACTCCTGATTGAAGAGATGTTAATGAAATAGAAAATAAGCAATCACATAAAATAAAACATCTAGCTATCAACCTCAATCCTTGGTTGGAGGTTCATGGAACCTACTGCTTTTGCATGCTTTCTCTTGCATGTCTGCTATTAGGATTTTTTCCTTTCACTGGTCTTTATGTTTAACACAGAAATGAAGTCACTTATTTAATTAAATATGTCTAGCAATGTTTTTAAACTTCAATACAGCTGATTATTAGAGCAAAGTCTTATTTACAGACAAATGTATTGAATTCAGATGTGTAACTGTTGGCAACTGTTGTCTAATTGGTTTTAATGTTACAACTACTCTTCCCTTCCTCAAAACAATTAGCTTCAGGGAAAAAAAGCTCCTTTAAACATGTCTTCTTCAATCACTGACACAACCTAAGTTTCAATAGTTTCACCATTTCAGTCATGTGTTCCATGCAAGAAATGCAGCATATTGATTAGGAGCTCTCTTCCAAGCTCGTAGAATCCCCAATCATTCCTGCTTTCTTAAATATCTCTGCACCATTGATGGGCAGCAACAACCCATTCTTTTCTCTTCAACTCAATGGAAAGGACCTCTGGCAATAGAGGAAGCTTCATAGCCACAGCCAAGGTTTTGATAACCTACAGGACCACTTCTCTGGTTGAGTAAAAGTATGTTATCTGTGCAAAGCTCTATTTCAATGTACATCTATCAAGAAAGAGGAAAAAGATAAATACCGCTTGTGTCTCTTGTCTGTGGATTACATGTCCTCAGAACTTTCAATGTCTGAGCACAACAGTGCTGGGAACAACAGTTCTAAGGACAAAGCCCCCTCGAACCAAAAGGTGCTGTGTAGGTCTCTCATGTGAAGGAGCAATGAACTAAACTCTCTACTTAGTCAATTGGATAGAAAGAGTGCAAGAAAGCAGTCACAGGGGAGTGCCTCGATGATGATTGAGAGGGAAGATGGCTCTCCAGAAGAGAGAGGCACCAGAAGATACTCCAGCATTTGCTTTGTCATAAATGACATTTGAATACTATACATTTTAGATATAAAAGAAAAGGTTCTACCTACTGGTATTATAACAACATGATTTACATAGGTTTAAAAGTAAAAGAGGTGCTGAGTTCTAGAAATCATGCTCATACAAGTCAATTACTCGGTGGAACGCTCTGGAAAATCAAATGAGATCAATTCAAGACGTTGACGCTTTTAAAAAGTCACTCAAGTGTATTTTTAAGCCACGTATGTTATAATGATGTACTATGTAGAATTTTTATTGTTGAAAATATGTAGAAATCTTACATTAATCTTCTTATAATTAGTTAGGAATTTAGTTTTATTGGATTTAGTTAGGAATTTAGTTTTATTGTCCGTACACGACCACATCAGCTTTTGCTGAATTTTTTATCGTGTTTAAATAAATGCTGTTGTTGTTGTTGTTGTTGAGTTTGGCAATTTGTTTACTGTTCTCATTTTATACTTATGCATTTAGAATGTAGTATGAAATGAATATTGCGATCCAAAATCCACCACTGAGGTGGAAAAAGTCCTATCAAAACAAGTTTTGGAAACTTTAGAGTGTTGTTCTTTGCTTAAATGATGGTTTTCTTACAACAAGGCAAATACTGAAGCATCTTGTGGTTTTTGGGAATATCATCCTTAAAATATTTAGTTAAGGTTTAGGTACTTATGCTTTAAATTTTGTGGCAGAAATTCACTTAACTTATTTGGTGCAGCTTTAAAGTTTTTTAATCCAGTTTTCAAGTTTTAGAACTTGTAAAAAATTTAGAATATATCAGAGGATGCCATCCTATTTATTGTTACAGTTAAAACTTTAAATCATAAGAAAAATGTGGTATGATAATGATAGTAATAACATGTGTAAATTCTCAACTTACTTTTTTACATACAGCTTGGAGTAAATATTGGAAAAAAAAAAGTAATATATGAATAAGTGAATTGTCAAAGAATTTTCAAACCAAAAATACTCTACTGTTAATGTGCTTAACAGTGTAGCAGTCAAATTATGTTTGACAGTTTTTATTACCAAATTGAACAATGAGACAAATAGACTATTTTAAAACTTATTGGTTGGTCAGTTCTCAAACCTACATTAAAGATCAATGCTGTTTACACCAGAAGTTATATGTCTGATTCTATCAGTCATCTACCACAGAGATCCCATGAGATACTATGCATGCGCATGGTTGGTCATTCTACTCGAGCAATCGCCATCTAGTAGCATGGTTGGTTTTCAATTCAGTTTTTTCCCCATCAATCTACATCTGGTAGAGATTTGTGTAGCAATTCAGTTCCTTTCAATGGTGATTTTCACCTTTCCATGGAAAATAGCATGGATGGGCTATTGGAAAAAGCTGAATAAGACACCAATTTCATCTGAGCAGCAAAGCACCCTGTCTCTTCACCAAAC